GAATGGGAAAATTCAGGAGGCGATTGAGTTGTTCGAGGGGATGGCGGAGAAAGGTTGTCCACCTAACACGATAACATTCAACACTCTCTTTGATTGTCTTTGCAAAAACGACGAGGTGGTTCTAGCCTTGAAGATGCTGTTCAACATGATGGACATGGGCTGTGTCCCGGATGTTTTCACTTACAATACGATTATCTATGGTTTGGTGAAGAATGGTCAAGTCAAAGAAGCAATGTGTTTCTTCCACCAGATGAAGAAAGTGGTCTTACCTGATTTTGTTACCCTCTGCACTCTTCTTCCAGGTGTTGTCAAGGCCGGTTTGATCGAAGATGCTTACAAAATCATTGCTAACTTTCTTCACAACTGTGCAGACCAACCAACCAATCTCTTCTGGGAAGACTTGATGGGGTCTGTTTTGGCTGAAGCTGGAATAGACAATGCCGTTTCTTTCTCTGAGAGATTGGTCAGTAATGGGATTTGTCGAGATGGTGAATCGATCCTGGTGCCAATACTCAGATATTCTTTTAAACATGGTAATCCTTCAGGTGCTCGAACTATATATGAGAGATTCACAAAAGATCTTGGTGTCCAACCGAAACTTCCGACCTATAATCTGCTAATAGGCGGGCTTATTGAAGCTGATATGATTGAAATAGCAGAGGAACTGTTCCTAGAGGTGAAGAGCACTGGTTGCATCCCAGATGTTTCTACTTACAACTTCTTGCTTGATGCTTATGGAAAATCAGGAAAGATCGACGAACTCTTTGAGCTGTACAAAGAGATGTCTTCCCATGAGTGCAAACCAAACACAATAAGTCATAACATTGTCATGTCCGGGCTCGTGAAGGCAGGAAATGTGGACGAGGCTCTTGATTTGTACTATGATCTTATCAGTGATGGGGACTTCTCTCCAACTGTTTGCACGTATGGTCCACTTATCGATGGCCTCTCTAAGTCAGGAAGATTATATGAAGCAAAACAACTCTTTGAAGGGATGTTGGATTATGGCTGCAGGCCAAACTGTGCTATCTACAACATTCTCATCAACGGGTTTGGAAAAGCCGGTGAGGCTGATGCAGCGTGCAAGTTGTTCAAAAGGATGGTTAAAGAAGGAGTAAGACCAGATCTCAAGACTTACTCTGTTCTTGTTGATTGCCTTTGTATGGATGGAAGAGTGGATGATGCCTTGCATTACTTCAATGAACTGAAGGAATCTGGCCTCAGTTCGGATGTAGTTTGTTACAATCTAATGATCAATGGACTCGGGAAGTCTCAGAGACTTGAAGAAGCTCTTGAGCTTTACAATGAGATGAAGAACAGCAGAGTAATCACCCCTGATCTCTACACTTACAACTCCTTGATTCTAAATCTTGGTATGGCCGGAAAGGTTGAAGAAGCTGGGAAGATCTACGAGGAGATTCAAAGAGCGGGTCTTGAACCAACCGTTTTTACATTTAACGCTCTGATCCGTGGATTCAGTTTGTCTGGAAAGCCCGAGCACGCTTACGCGGTGTATCAGACAATGGTGACCGGAGGTTTTAGCCCCAACACAGGAACATACGAACAGCTCCCCAATAAAGCTTGACATGTTACGCAGCTAGTACAATTAGAAGAGCTCTACATTAAGTGAAGCTTCTGGTGAAAAGTTTGTCAATGTGAAGTGTACAAATACAAAACGTTTTGTGTAAATGTCATATTGTTTTGTTTGTTTATATGATGATGATATGATCTTTAAGGCCAATAACATTTCACTAATAATTCTGGAATCTCGTGATACAAAAGTCTGGAATCAGAGGAACTGGAATACTGAAATCCTCAGACAGGTCAGGTTGTGGTATAAGTCTTTCAAAAGCATTTACATATTGAGCCAAAAATACTAGATGTTATCTTCTGTAATGGGACTACTTTGACGAGCTGGGCTCATCATGGCTTGGTTCTGGTTCGGTTGCTGATGGAGTAGGTTCCGTGGACTGAAGAGGCTTCTTGAACTGAACCAAGATCATGGTCATGTTGTCACAGCCTTCACCACCTGCAGTGTTTGGAGCCAGACATCTATCGAGAACCTTTTCACACACCACCGAGAGTTTGGTTTCCTGAACGTTACAAAAGAGAAACTGTAGAAATCCAGAAGAGGAAAGACTGGGAGAAAAGGGAAACTGTAATCCAAACGAAGACAAATCACGTAAGCTTACCGAATTCATCTGTTCATGTAGAAAATCAACGAGTTGTTGGCTAGTCATGCAATCCCTGCAGATATGAGATGAACCAAGATAGGTGTATCAATATCACTCACTATCTAGAAAGGAACTTGCTTGGAGAACAACTTTTTAAGTTTGATTATACCAAATTCCATCGCAGGCAAGAACAAGGAAATCATCATCATCGCAGAGTTCAACCTGAAGAGGAAGAAAAACATAAGTGTTAATACAAGATGTTTCAGGAGAAAGAGAGACGGCATTAGACACACTTACAGTGTTGATATCTGGACTTGCGGTAACCATTTGCCTTTCAGACGGCAAATTCTTATTCTGCTTGAATTCCATGTCACCTGTAAAAGAGACAAAGAGCAGCTCCAATCAGAATTGCATGATGTATACAAGTTGGCATTATGTGTAGAAGAGGTTACCGATGGCTCTTGCTAGATTTAAGCTTCCATTGACTCTCCCAGCATGAATAAATCCGCCAGCTTTCAATATCCTTTCTTTCTCAGCTTCAAGTTCTGGTTTGTGATCTCTAGAAAGATTGTAAGCCTGTAGACACACTTAAAAATGTCAAAAACTCTAAAATCATAACACTTCAAAATGCCTAACGAAACAGTGTTTTACCTGACCCTTTCTGGATATAACACAACGTGAGTCACCAGCATTTGCAACAAATAGCTGCTTGTGTCTAATAACAGCTACACATGCTGTGCTCCCAGGATTAGGTCCAGGAAAGTCAGAATGAGGACCCTGTTTTTCACAAGGAAGCCACAAGTCTCAGTCTCAGTTCTAATTCGATCATTATGCAGGTAAGGAAAGGAAAATTTACTTCCTCAAAATCCCAAGCATCAGGTTTATTAGCGCTGTCTCCACTTCTTGGTGACCATATAAGCCCTTCAATCATTCCACTAAACTTATTGATCTTGTCACCGAGTACTGCTAATTCTCTCCATCCTCTCTGTCCTTGCATCATCTCATCCATTCTACAATAGTAACCACACAGCAACAAAAGAGCAAAACACTTAATGCCCAACTTCAAAACAAAACGAGACTCTTTCTCTTGAGTCTTGACGCTACCAAATCCTAAGTTACCTGAAAAATGATCTCTGAAGAGAAGTCCCTACATCTCCAGCTGCATATGCCTCATTACTGAGAACCTGCTGGTGTAGATACTTGGCGCAGAACTTTGAAACAACTTTACCTAAAACACCATCCAAAATCATTTGAGACTCCATGTAAATAACGAAGCTTGATATCAGTCTTCAAGCTCTAGCTGCTTTGGGAGCTCTTAACACAAAGCTTAAAGCGTGAAAATTCGTCCAAAAAGTAAAAACACAGATTTTTTTACCTCCATGGCCATCATAGACACCCAAAAAAGAAGTGTTATCATCCAGATTAAGTATTGCAGCATGCTACAAAAGTTAAAAACCAGTGATTGAATCAGTTAGGAAACAAATATCTGCAGAACAGAAAAAAAGAAAGGTTTCAACTTTTTGAGTTTTTTTTTCACTCACTGCGTCTTCCATGGATGCACGCCAACCTTGCATAGACGATAAGCCATATCTAAGTTTATCATTTTCGCCATCTTCTGAGAACTTATCTGTTTTCGGAGAACTAAGGTATATACCCATCTCGTTTCTGCAAACCGAAATTGGACATTTCTTCGTATAATCAAAAGACGATTCTTGCTCAATAACATAAAACAAAAACACTCAAATCCAACAGAATATCAAAACAATCTACTGTTTCCGAGCTAATATATGTAAATCAAAAGGAAAATTGGAGATGAATAGTCACCTGAAAATTAGCTTCAGACACCTGTGATCTTAATAATCTTTTTAAGCTTAGAGTTTGACACTGCAATAACAGGCCCGGATTTGGATATAAGCAATTCAACAGATCAAATGAATTACGAAATGAAGTTGTTGGAGAAGCTTGGTTTTTCACATTTCTGTCTCGATAATGGCTGACAACAGAAATGGAGGTGGGAGAGAGAGAGAGAGAGAGAGAGAGAGAGAGAGAGAGACTCGATCGGAATGATCTGAGGAACAAAAGATGAAATTTTTAATTGAGAAATTGTACTTGGGATCAGATTGTACGCCAAAAAGAAAACGAAGAGAAAAAGTCTGGTTTTTTGTTTTCCTGAGAAGCAACGAAAGTTTCTGAATTTGTTTTCTTCTCCTTATTCGCCACCATAACACTAAGGAATACAAATATAAAAAAATACTCCTAGTATACTTGTTTCGTTTTCCTCCTAATGATTTGGTGGGTGATAATTAATAAATTTCCGTAATTGGATTAGCGTCAGTTATTTTTCTCTAAACGTGTAAATTTTCAGTTGTATAGACAGGTAACTTCAAATTTCAGACATATCGTGTGTCTTCATTAATTTCTCTCCAAGTTAGGCAATATTTGTTGTATACTTTATGGCTACATATCATGAACAAGACTACATCTAAGTACTACTGTTTCTGCCTAATTTGTTGATCAACAAACAAACAATAGCTTCTGCACCGCTCATATTTCCCATTTTATGTATTAATAAAATTTATTTTTCCTCAACACTGTGTAGGGCTGTGAATATAATATTGAACACGTGTTTTAATCAGGATCACAGTAGATTTTTGTGTGTTTTGCAAAAGTTTGTACTTATGAATTTAAAATCTCTCTTTTAAAGCATGAAATAAACCTTGTTGCTTATCGTGTTTTTATATTAAGCACTCATTTCCTTTAAACGCGTGAACACTTAAGTATAAACTAAAACACATTTCTAGATAGTAAACACATTTTGCTTTTGTAATGGCTTCCTCTTACGCATCATTTTCTGCAGTCTTCAATGGTTTCGCTGCAACCAGACCAAACCATCCTTCGACTTTTCTCGTCACTTCATTGAAATTCTCCAGAGGAACATCAAATTTTCGGAATCTGAGAAATGGGCTTTCCCTGAAATCTTCGAACAATCATGGGTTTCAATTCCAAACCAGAAATTTCAGCGTTTATGCAAGAGCTGCTGCAGAGAAGACTGTTCACGATTTCACTGTAAAGGTACGTTTCTATTTCTGTTTCTTCCTTAACTTCTATCAAAATATGCTTTCTTCTTTTTATCCCACAAATGTTCTGTTTCTTTTTCTTGAACAGGACATAGATGGGAAGGATGTTTCTCTAGATAAATTCAAAGGAAAACCTCTGTTGATCGTTAACGTTGCTTCGAAATGGTGATTCTTTCTTTATTTGTGCCACGAATTTTGACTTTTACTTTCGAAAATTATATTTTTTTATGTTAAAGGTTTCTGAAAGAGTGTTTATTTTTTCTAAAATTTTATGTCACAGTGGTTTGACATCATCAAACTACTCGGAGCTTTCACAACTGTACGATAAATACAAGAACCAAGGTGAGCTTTTATTATTGATAAGCTTTTTCAACGTCCCAAATCCTTATGAATATGTAACACATTTTGTGGCCTGGCTCTATCTCTCATTTTTTGTGTGTCTCTTATACTTAGGATTTGAGATTCTAGCTTTCCCTTGCAATCAATTTGGAGGTCAAGAACCAGAATCAAACCCGGATATCAAACGATTCGCTTGTACCCGATTCAAAGCAGAGTTCCCTATATTTGACAAGGTACTTATATTATACTACAGCAACAAAAACTCTCGGTGGATTTTTATTGGCTGTACATTTTGCAGATCAGTGAGAGTTTGAAAATATTCTTGACAAGTTTTTTTTCAGATTGATGTCAATGGACCGAGCACAGCTCCTATCTACCAGTTCTTGAAATCAGAGTCTGGTGGGTTCTTAGGTGATTTCATCAAATGGAACTTTGAGAAATTCTTGGTTGACAAAAAGGGCAGAGTTGTCGAGAGATACCCTCCCACGACTTCGCCTTTCCAAATCGAGGTACGTAATCTAAACTCTGTTCCCTCTTCATCTTGGTTAGTGTTTTCCGGTTTGGTCTACGGTTTGTATCATGAACCGAACGAGTTGGTCTATTCTCTATCAGCTCATAAGTTCATAACACCTATATTATGTACGTAAGATAGTATGATTAGTATTGTAGTACTAACAATCTTTTTATTTTGAGATGTTGCAGAAGGACATCCTCAAGTTGCTTGCGGCTTAAACCTACTGTTAATTAAAGAGGCACTCAAATTTCCCGGTTATTGTAAAAATTCAGATAAACATGTACCACAAAATGACATTTTATAAATAAAAAGTTCAATAAATTTGGCCATTAGATAATAATATATACTGTACAAACATCACATCCGATTATTCCGATATGTATATATTTACAAAACACACGCACACAAACGCAGTCTTGGATATATTTCCATTATGTAAATTAGAAGATTAACGTTGGCGACGTCGAGAAGATGAATCTTTCCGTGACTGTGGCAGAAACCTATGGCGGAGATAAATTGGTGGTGATACCTGTGAGGACCGTCGAGATACTCGAGGAGGAGGATCATGCCTCCGTCGAGCCTTACGAGGAGCTTGACGTGGCCGTTGACATTCTTCCTCTTCTTCTTCTTCTAGGAAAACGATGAAGTCTTCGTAACTGATTGTGTTAAACAAGAAGAAGGGTTCTGGTTCTGGTTCGATCGTCGTCGAGATCTCTGTGATTCGGTCAAAGCTTCTGTTCCTGAAAAACAACAACTCCTCCATATCTGCCACGATACGGCTATATCTCGCCGATAGGTCTTCTGGTGTGGATTGGAATGACACGTCATGGACCGGGATGATCTGTCTGTGTGGGATCCCTAACCGGGAATGCCTCTCACTTATCTCCTCCATGTCTTTCTTGTTTTCCTGACAAAACACTTTGTAAGACTTATGTTAATATGTTGGGTACAAAATTCTGTATTTTTCCTTTATACTAGTCTCTCCACTATCTCAATTTTTAAAGAGAAACAAATTAGAACACGAAAGACTCGTCGACATAATATATTTTAAAAGTTTAACTAAAGTTTTAGTGAAACACGTTGACAAAGAAAATTCTCTTGTTTGATAGAAAACATATACTCCAAAGCTATGCTGAATAAACCAACCGATAAATTAATGTTATAATTTAAAACCATACAAAGACTGTTTCTTAACCCATTGGATAAACTTAATTGACATTTTCCAATTTAATTAGTACATTCTTCAGAAATTCACCTAGAATTTTCAAGTCATTACACGAATTTTCAATCAATAAGTTACATGATGCAACACCGATTCATATTTATAGACTTAAAATATTTAACTATTTATGCAGTGGACTTGGAGAACAATAATCCTAGTCACCTTATACTAGCCCAACCAATGTTTCATCCCCGACACTAAACTAGAACAATACAGCCCTCTGATCACACACAAGATTGTAAACGGGAATATGGAATTTGGGAACTAACCAAATTATAAATACAAACCGAGTAAATGGTGGCCAATCTGGTACCTTTGACAATTTTATGGATCCCCCTTGTGTCACTTAAGTGCGCCACTGATGACACCTTACAAATATTATGTTAAAGCCTCATTGATCTTATCTTCCTTAGCTAGCTCACTAAAAACTGAACCATGTGATTTAATTTTCCATATAAATGCAAACAAAAGTCTTGTTTACATCTTATAACACACAAGTACTCTGCAAACATTAATCCAAACAAAATGATATCACAAGACATTTTAAATTACACACAATTTATAATAACTTGAGAAGCTCAACCTTCTAAATCCTGCTTACAAACATTCAACTGATAGTTGAAGAAGTTGAAACCTATTTGCCAATGACAGGAAGAATATACCAAGTTTATGTGCCTAATTGGTTCGTGAACACAAAACGTGGGGACAAAGGAGAACACAAGACAGAAAGCAAGAACTGCATGACAAGAGCTAGTTATACGAGAAACACAACACAACATATTTTTTATATGATTTTGTAGAATGACATTTGCATTTACCCAAATTCTTATCATTTTCACTCTGAAAAAAGTCCCCAGATTAAACTTTATCATACCCGTCGTGGATATCTTGTAATTAAAATGAAAACTCGAAGTGTTTTGGCATAAAGAAAAAAAATCCCGAAGTAATTAATTAAAGTGGGAAAAAACACATTTTATTACTCTTCTTCAACATCTAGTCATGAAAAGGCATACATGCAACATTAATAAAATACTTCAAGTACAACAGATTTCTTCATCTCGATATTGGACTGATCCCTCTTTGCAAATGCATCAACAAATCGCTACCAGATTCCAAAATTACTTGCTAGGTTGAAAATTACTTGTATATCTTGGAACAAAAATACACAAAATTTAAATTGTTTATGGTCGTTTTCAGGAACATGTTCTTCAATCAAAAAACAAACCCACAAGAATATTCTCACAAGATTCACAATGTGATCACATGGAATCAATGATACATCCATCTATAATATATCACATTAAGTTGTATAGATCAGATTTATAGTTACATAACTATACCTCAAAATAAACAACGACCATACCAATAAAAAAAATAATCAAGAAAAACCAACGACTGATCCAAAAACTATGAATAGTACTCTTGCAAGATCCATGATGATGAATATAAATTAATATATGATCATATGAAGCAAATCATATGTATGAATCAAGAGACCAAATAACGGACTAAAAAGATTAACGACGAAGGAAAACGGGAAAAGATGCCATATATTATTAACTTAGATCGAGGAAATTAAGGATGTAAAAGAGTTAGGACCAGCCTAAGAAAACTAGGTTAACGTTAATGGCCCATGTTAATCTCACTTAACCACGCCTTAAACTCATAGATTAAAGCTTTTTCGATACTAATGATCTCATATAATACAAAGATCGAACAAAGGAGGATAAAGCAAACTCGCATGCAATCGAAACCAAATCTATGCAGAATAAAAGAATTTATATACCAGATCGTATTAAAATACCTTTGGAGAGATGAAGAACACATGAGAGAGCGAGAGAGAGAGAGAGAGAGAGAGAGAGAGAGAGAGAGAGAGAGAGAGAGAGAGAGATTTGGGAACCGTTATAAGAAGAAAACGTGAACGGTCCGAAATGAATCGGCGCCGGAATCTGACAGATAGAGCAGTGAGCACGCAAGAGAAGCAAATGCATCGAACATGCAAAGTGCCTTTGGGTGCTCACTCTCTTCTGTCAGTTTCTTTGCGTTTCTCTTTACAAAAGTTACCCAAAACTCACTCGTGACATTAACGACCCAAACTGAGATTAGAGATCGAACAGAAGAAACGGGTTTTTGACAGGAGACTTTGAAGCTGTAGAGTTAGATCTGTGAGGCTTAGGGTAAGCGAAACCAGAGAGAATATTTATAAATCGAAGGAAAAGAGGAAAGTTATTCATTTTTAGATACCCTTTTGGAAAACAAATCTAGGGTTTTGACCAAATCAAGAGGGGTGAATAAATTACCAAAAAAGATAGAACAAAGGGAGAGATATTCGGCGAGAAGGATTTGATTTATTAGAGGAGAGGAGAAGAGAGGGAGAATCTGTAAAAGAAGGAAACAAAAAACCTTATCTTTCTCTGTCGCTCACCCTCTTCAAGAGTCTTATCTCTGTTTTTTTTTGGGTTTTGTCTCTTTCTTCTCTCTCCCTCTTACATGCACTGGGACAGATGTCTGAAGAGAGAGACATTTGAGTGGAAAGGATTTGGATTGAACAGTACCATTGCAGTTTATAGTGGTCAATCTCACAACCTATAAACGGCAACGACACACCTATAAAAAAGTTCTTGAAATTTGAAATGAATTTTGGTCTTTCACGATGAGAGATATGCTTATTTGTGGGAATCAACTCATTTTTTTGGTTAAAATAATCATCTCTAAGTTTTTAATTATTTTCTTAGGCTAATAAATTATTGACAGCCAATAAATAAACAGGCAAAACATGGCGGAGAAAGTAAAAATAAAAAACAGCACAAACAGAAATTACAGAACAATTGGCAAAGCAAAAAAAACAATCCTTTTAAATGAACAGTAAAAAGATAGGAAAAGACATCGAATTCAAACTAAATGATGATTCTTAAAAAGTATAGAAAAGATTTAACATTACGGAAGAAAACTTGGGTCGCCAAAAAAAGTGTGATGCATTAGTATTGAAGTTCATCGACTTGTACGCCAATCCGCTTGTTCTATGGATTAGTAATAAATCCATTTCTGATCCTAGAGATCCATTGTTTATTTGAAAAATGATGAAACAAGATTGTTTGACTTGGAATAGCAAGTAAGTATCATTTCCGATAGTAAATTGTCAAGGACTCAAGGGCAGAACATAACTTAAAAGAACACTGAAAGGTTAGAAACTCAAAAAATGTAGGAGTAAGAACTTTGTGTTTGACCAAAGAATATATCCAAAACAGTCTAGATTCATTGCTTCCCGTTAACAGAGAACAAAGCTCCGACTCTTTCCTGAGTGATAAAGATATGATAAGATATGTTGTCTGAATAATAAATGGAGTATATCTTTTCTCCACACATAAGAAAACGATGCCAAGACATTTTTCATCTCTTTTTGTTAAAGAAAACGCTGCCAAGATATTATATTAGACATGTATATAATTATAAATAAATAAACCGTTATATTTGACCCATTCCATCTGCAAGGTTTTCATATGTTGGAAAAACTGCAACGCTCTTCGGACCAATTTTGACGCGGTGGTTAAATATCCCTCCAGAGCATCATTTGACCAAGACGTTATATAACTTTTTTTCTTCCTGGCGTTTTAACTCGGTTTGTATTATTGTATATTTGATGCATACGATCTACGTATTGAATGACATACCATTGTAGGCGTATCACGTATGTAGGCTCTCGTAAGATGCGTCTAATAATGGTTGAAATATTATCTTTCGATCGAAGATTAATGCGAGTCTCGCGTGCTTATATTTTACGATGCTGACTTAAACCTCGTGGTCGTCTCTCACCTTCCTCACGTTCGTAATGTGCACATCTTTCTCGGGCTATCTGTTAGTTAGCTATTGGTCCTGTTCTGCCACGTTCTACATTTAGATTCGTTTATACAAGTGATGCTTACGAATACCTATATTTAAAAGTTAAAGGGAAAATAAAATACACCCATTTTTTTCTTTCGGCCTATGAAAAAGAGGAGATGAGAATACGGGATCATGGACCACATGTTTCCCATTCACCAATGACCTTAAATTCCACATAATAGCTAATTTTTATGCGCATAATTTTATTTTTCGTTTGTTAATGTCTAGATCTTGTTCTAAGAAAATACTAGTAGTTTGTTTTCTTTTCTTTTTTTTTTTCCGGAAAAAAAAAGCCAAATACTGTAATAGATAACTCACAACTTTCATCAGTTTATGCGCAAGACAATGATAAAAAGGACAAATTCAACTCATCGAAGACCTCAGATCTAGTGGCCCTAGATCCTTATTGCAAGGCTGTTAATAGATTAAAACCTTGATAGATGTGTTATACATTAAATCACATGTAAAATGGAATATCCCCTAAGTGTGGGAAGCAAACATTGGGTTTAGGAATCTCCAAGCATCACGCAATAGCGTGGCATAATTTTATCTCGTCTTAGGTCAACTTCTAACCACATCCTTCTAAACTAGAACAAAATATATTCGGGAAACTTGTCCTCGAGGCCTCTACGTCTCACAGATTAGTATTACTTTTCTCCATCAAATTTTAAGCTATTTGGCAGACTAGCACTTAAACTGTAAAATTGTAAACTGACTAACATTTTTATAGAAGCATTAAAGAACTGACATTTCTTGGGGAAAACATTGATTATCCCAGAGTTGGTGGACATTTAGATTTTGTACATTGATATACATTCACATAGATGAATATAGTTTTGCATATAATATAGGAACGTTCACGAATATATATGAACATAAGCCAGTCATGTACAATAAAAAGATGTTACTTTTCTAACAGCAAGTTTAACATGTTTGGTTCATTTGTAAGATTTTGTTCGGTTTCGTTTGGATCGATTGGAATTTAACATTCCTCCTATTCGGCAAGATGTTAAGCCAAAGATTGTAGCCGACAAATAACAAACGATTTATGCTGAATCCTAAACCATGCATGATTAAGAATAGCATAAACACATAACTCAACCTAAGTAAATCCAATTTTGAATAACGGTTTAGGAAGACTTACTGCTAATAGTCGGAAAGTGTACTTTTTATCTACTCAAATATTCTCTCAGAAACTCCATGGAGAGAGAAGGGAAAAAAAAACGGTCAAAAAAATAACATAAAATAAAAATAACCAAAGCAAATAACCTTATGCATCCACCTTAGCACTACATGAGCTCAAATCAAACCTAAAGTGAAAAATCAAACCAAACTACTACGTTTCTTGTCTTAAAACAATTCTACACCTCTACTATCCAGACGACGTCAAATCCCACCATTTCAAGACCACCGCAACCACCATTACCACAACCGCTTTCCTCCTTCATTACATAACCCTTAATTCAAAGGAGCAAAGAACCGAAAGCCTTTCCTAAGGTCAGACTCATCGCTTCCTCTTCTTACCGGACTTTGACTGACTTCCCTGAACCGCCTTGCCTGATTTCCCTTTTGTTGCTGTTTCTGGTGCCGCCGGCGTCTCTTCAGATTCCGACTCCGCATCGCTCTCTTGGGCCTTGGAGGAAGGTGTAGAAGCAGAACCAGACTTTGCTTTGCCCTTAACTGTTTTCCCCTTGGCCGATGAAGATTTCGCAGGTCCTGACTTGGATTTGGCAGCAGTCTTAGGAGTAGCCTTGGACGGCTCTTCCTTCTTCTTGGATGAAGTTTTGGATATCTCCTTCTTCGACTTGCTGCTTCCTGATTTAGCAATGGTTTTGGGGGTTTCCTCTTCCTCGCTCAACTCTTCAGAGCTACCCTCTTCTTCTTCTATGTCAGCTTCCTTTGGTTTGCTCTCTGTTTTGTCATCCTGGGACTTCTTTCCGGACTTGGACGCAGGAGCAGCTTTAGACTTGCTTGATTCACCTCCACCACCCCTGTGCACATCAGAAGCAATAATATTGCTGATTAGTAGAACAAAGATTAGAGCAAAAAAAAACTATTTGCTTTCAGTTTCATTTACTTTTTCCCTGATGAGTTTGATTGCTTGCCGTTGCCTGTCTTAGCTTTCTTCTTCTGGGGCCTGTATGAAGAATTACTAAGATTAGTCATCACAAGAATGGCAAATTCATCTCATAACAACATATAACCACGTCTAGCTAATCCTTTCAGTGCGTCATCAGCACCGAATCTAGAGAAGTAACACTTACACTGTAGAGGCTTCTTCACCATGACCAGTCTGATCAGCAGCTTCTTCATTCTGCTGACAGAAAAATGTGAGTTACAGCAAAGGGAAGAATCAAAAGAATTCCGAGATGAATGAAGTATAAATTCCCACCTCTGAATCTGTTTCATCCAGAAAATGCCACTTTTGTTTCTTAAGATACAAGGTTTCTTGATCTCCATCATCATATATAACCTGAAAACGAAGATAGCAACATCATACAGAAAAAATGCACGGCTTAGGAGAAGATTCAATAGGCTAACTGGTTCACCATTAACAAATGAGACAAGCCAAAATAGTTATCGAGGAGACTCATAAATCTGTGACTTACCAAATGTTTCTTTTTAGTAGGATCATATGACTTGACCACACCAGCATAATACCTGCGGCAAAAAAAAACCGATTTTCATTTAAAAGCGTGAACAACAAAAATGCAACTATTCAAAATGTTAGTCCAAATTCAGCTATCTAAAGGAAAATACATAGAACATATGATTAAGTTTGTGTGAATCAAATATAATTCAAAAGAAGAAAATACAAAATACTCACGCTCGATCCATAGGCCACCAGACTCTGACCTTCGACCCAACTACATTACCATCACATTTCTGGAGATCAGATGCCTGCCAAGGAATTGATTCAGTGTGAAAAAGTCTACACAGATACAGAACACATGATACAGTACGGATAAAGAATAACAAGAGATGCCTAAGGTCCACAGAGGATCACGGACAGATGTTTAAGAGAAAAATATCTTCAGCATGAAGAGAATAAGAAGTTGCAACCATGCACAGTCACTAACGCAAATGGAAATTGGTAAAACATGATTTACTTCCCACATTCCTTTATATGAGCAAACAATTATAATAGGTGAAATTACGGGGACATACTTTCTGTTTGACTGGACTTCGTTTTCTCTTTGCGTTTGTATTAGGACTTTCTTCTACCGGTTGCTTCACTTCTTTCTTTGACTTTGAGACTGATTTTCCAGAAGAAGCAGCTGGCTGAAACACAATCAAAGGATATCAGTAATAGTAAAAGGACAGGGAAGGCAGATATATATATATATATAATTATTGAATCATACAGGTCAGGGAACAACTTACTTTTTCATTATCCCCTGAAGAAGTATGTAATGAGTCCTCATCTATGGCTTTCCCACGTCCTGGCTTTTTCTGTTCTTCTTTTGGCTTTGAGTCTTGCACATTATCACTCTCAACTGCCTTTTTCTCTGACTGCTTTGATGCTTTTGTCTCAGAGGTGCTTTTCTTTGAAGGAGGAACAGTAGCCTTAGCTTTACTGGAGGAAGGGACCTTCTTTCCAGACTTTTTCGTCACTTTAGCTTCAGAAGTTTTTGCTTCTTCAGTGGCTTCTTCGGTAGCACTAGCAGCAGATGGTTTGGGCTCCTTCGTTGCGCTTTCCTTTTTCTTCTGGTTTGCGGTCTTCTTAGGACGGCTTTCCTCAACAAGATCCTCAGCCTTGGATTCCTCAACAAGATCCTCAGCCTTGGATTCCTCAACAAGGTCCCCAGCCTTAGATTCCTCAGTAAGATCCTTAGCCTTGGATTCCTCAACAAGATCCCCAGCCTTGGATGGAGAACTGACATTGGCAGTTTCATCAGCTGATGTCTTAGATGGCAAAGCCTGAACACTTGTTATCTTCTCATTTTCAGAAGAACTGGCAACGTTAATAGATGAATCATCAGGAGGCGGACTTGACACATCCTTGCTTTCCAGGACTGTTCCAGGTTCAGTCTTCTCCTTGATATCTGAAGTTTTTGATGAATCCACCTGTTTGACAGAACTGGGTTCTTCTTCCTTAGTTTGATGTTCAACATCAGGCTTCTCTTCAGAAGTATTATCCAAGTGAGTGTTGCTAGGATTATCAGGTTGTTGAGGCTCATCTTTAGCATCTGTATCGTCTTGCTTCTTTGTAGACTCAGTATCAACAGAAGAATCATTCTGTTGCGCAACGCCATTGCTGACTCCTGACTTACCAGATTCATCCTTAGGTGCATCGGTTTGCTCAGGTGTTGAGATTTCTGCTGCCTTCTCTGAATCCTGCTGATTAGAAAATCAAAACCAATTAAACAATCTACTTAAGCAAATAGAAGAAAGGACATTTATCTTTTCTCTAGAAATAAACAAACTTTCAGAGTTCAATACTGATTAAAGGGAGAAAGAAACATGCCTCTACTTCTGCTTCCTTTGCTAAATCACCTTGACTATCCTGCAGGGTAACAATAATGGTATAAGAGCATGTAATGTAACTGAACGACCATGAGGCAGTTTTGACAGATAAACAGGTGAAAAATCACACTGGCTGGGTAGAAAAACATTATGAGAAGGCTTACCTCTTTTTCATTCTCGACAACTTGGTCTATCTCCATAGCATTGAATGTCCCTTCACATATCGAAGCCACCATGTCACTATACTTATCTAAAGAGACACCCGATGATTTCACTGCTTCCGTCAGATACGTTTTGAGCTTGCTAGCACAGTTGCTGAGAACATGTTCTGACAACCTCCGTGATACCTGGGGAACCTGAGAACAAGTTGAAATAATTAGCAGAAGAGCACTGGTTGCTGAAACAAAATTTGTAAAGACCAATCAATGTATCACCTCATCATCCTTTCTAACATAATGTAGAATTGGTGAAAGCATTTCCGGAGGTATATCCTCACTTTCTTCTAAAACAAGGGTCATAATGTTCTCCATAGATGAAAATACGTTCCCTGGATGATGGTCCCTGAAAAGAAAAATAAATTCATCATCAGAAGCTTGAAGATGCACAAAAGAAAGTAAAACCAAGTCTCTGTTATGAAACAGTAGCTAAGTTCAATTATGATTCTTTCAGAATGGATTTATTAGCTAGTACCTTATTGCCTTCAGGAAAGTCTGGAACATCTCAATAAGAAGTGATTCACACTCAAGATCCAACATCACAACGCATGATCTGACCTTAGCTACGGTATCAAGGATCGAGGTCCTTTTGGAATAGGAGCGACTAGATGTGTCAACTAAATTCTCAAATGATGATACAATTAACTTAAATACTTCCTGCACATGAATAGAAGAAAGAATCAGCCACCAAATCCACCTTCATATCCATTTCCTGAATAAAAGTCAGCAAACAATAACATACCTTCATCTGTTCATCATCATAAGGAGCCTCCGGAGCAGTTATCCTTGTGATCTCACTGATGCAGGCAGCGACTGAGACTTTCACATCGTCGTCTGAATGCTTGAAGAGTTTTCGAGCGACTAATGCTTTCGTCAAAGGAGAGAGTGCGTTCTGCATTGAATCGGGAGGTGACTGCTCGACCTCTGCCAGGCTGAGGAAAAGTTTCTGCAGCAAAGTTTCACAAAAGGAATATCAATCTCAAATGCTCCAAAATTTGAAAACAGATTGATTCACACAAAAATCAATTAGTGAAACAATGGGGCCAATGTCATTCTTCAACACTATTATGCAGATTTAGATTAACAGTTATCACGGCAAAGGAGTCCTACAATGTTAGATTCGCAGAGCTTAATGAAGGGAAAAGCAATCAACCATAAGAGAAACGATACAGAGCAAGAGTTAAATCCTAATCCAGAAATCCACACTAAACACATGCACCCACTTAGCAATGCGCGATTTTGAAGAAGAAAACAAAAAAAAAAACAGATACAAGGGAATGGTCAAGGAGCTTACATCAAGGAGAGAAAGAAGCTCATCGACTGAAGAAGGCGGGTTAATTAGCTTTTCCCCAGCTTCCAGAATCTGATTCTCGAGAGTTTTATCAGAATCCGACATGACTCCCCTCTCCTTCCTTTCTCTCTCTCTCTCTCTCGTTCGCTCTTCGTGCGTATCTACAATTAGATCTCTACAAAAACTAGATTCGGAACAAAGAGAATTCTCAGCACGAAAAAACTAAAGCTCGCATCGATTGTAGAAATGGGATTAGACGAGAAGATGGATTAGGCGAAGAAACAACGAGAAATTCCCCCAAAGTCACTGAGGAACACGCTAGGGTTTTCTCTCTATTTTTTTTTCCCCTTCTCTCAATCTTAACTGTTTACATAAAACCAGAAAAATAAAATAAAAAGTAAAGAAATTTTCTCAGACGCGAGAACCCTCAGCGCCGTTAAAAAGGATTTATATAATCTAGAAAAAAAAAATTGGAAGTATTTAAGTTTTAGACTTTAGTGTACGGCAATTTAATAACTGGTCGTCTTTTTGAAGATGTGTTTCTAATTTTTATTTAATTTCTTTCTCTTTTTTGGGACTATTTAAAAAGAGAATCCAAAAATCAAGGGAATCCAGTTTTGTGAATTTTTTTTTCGCCTTTCCCCGGAATTCACCTTAGATTTATTTACTCAGGTTAGCTTATTAACTGGCTTTCAAGTCCGCTTTTGAATTATTTCCGAGTATTTTTCGAGAAAATGGTGGCCTTGTTCTCATTAACCAAAAAATATAAGCTCAGACGAAAATTTACCAAGGTACTATTGGATAAAATCGTGTGAAAGAAACATAGATCGTTAAAATTTGTCTCCTTAACAGATTTAAGAAACAATCCACAACGGTTTAGATCACTTCAGCATGAGATTTGGATACAATAAGAGTTAAAGACTTCGTACTGGATACTGAATTTAAAACATGATCTAATACTATACTTTTTGTTCTATTATTGGTCGCTATATTTTCATCTACCGATTTTATATAGAGAAATTTTTCTCAAGATATACTCAAAAACCCATATTAGTTCTTAAAAACTAATTTCGGTTGTTTTTTTCATGCTGAAATATGTCTCTGTAATGGATGAATTTGTTCGTGAGGAGTACTCTAGTTTCTCTCCACCGGTGCCTCATCTAAGTGAAGTGGTGGCACTCAAGGGCGAGATCTCAACAATGTCTCGGCTTATGACTCAAATCTAGCCCAATAGTTTAGGACTGGGTCAATTCAAAAACGCAGAATATTAAGATACTAATGGGTCAATTTCAAGGTCGGCCCAAATTCGAAAACCGCGCATCATGGGAGTGTTGTATATTGATATGAACCAATGACGGAGAACCATGTCATCACTATTACACGTGTCAAATGTAGTAAAAGTGTAAAACGACCAAATTAAACTCAACTACCAGTCTACTACACGAGACTACCTCACAATGAGACAACACTGATTTATGGTGGTTGAAAGATCCATCTAAGAGTTCAGATGGGAGACAATGATTCGAGTTCGCTGTTGTCTTGTAGGATTAATCTTAGTTTTAATGCTGAACCTTCAAATATCAACATATGTAAAATAAAATATTCATAAGACAACGTATTGGCGGTGGCTCTGAAGGCTATTTTTTTTCTTGGTGAAGTCTTTGGGAATTTTTTGAGTTCACATTCCCTCGGAAAAAGACGACGACCAAATTACCTTTAGCTGTTATAGACTTTTTTTTTACTTTAAATGCTGTTTCATAGAGAACCACTCTATTGCAACATTAATGCATTCATATTAATGTGTCGCGAACACACTTAGATTAATGTGTCACGTCTTGTACACCTACATGTAGGTGTCATATTAGCCCTCCTTACCATTCAATTCTGCAAAATTTTCACTATCTCCTACTCGTTGTGTTACCAAAGTAAACTTACGTACCATTAGCCTAGTTTTGGAGTCTCAAAATTGCCATAATTATTTGGAAATTAAATGGTTATAGATATATCCGATGTCCACATATGAGAAATGAAATGGTAATAGATATGTCTGATGTCCATATAATAGATGGCGAATGCAGCTTCTAGAAGCCAAAGAAGATTAGAAGAGTGTTTTTCTTAACATTAGATCATAGCAACCCAAATAAAAATAGACTGCCTTTAATGAAAGCGGTCACACTCCCACTCTCACATGCACCATCCCACCTTTCATTTATATTGTTAATTATTAAGCTGTGTACCTTTTCAAATTTGGGACCATCCTTAATAGAGTTTTAACAAAGTATATATACATCGATGATGATTCCAAGTAATATAAGCATACGCTTCCAAGAAATTATAACATACTCATAAGTCATAACTAAGCCAGAAAAAAGGATATTTATTTACACCATATAATAAGAGTACAAAGCTGATAAAACTGGTTGAAGTAAAAGCTAACAAAGCGCATACCTTTAATTATAACATACCTTTTACACTAAGCCTAGCAAACCTAGTGGGTATTTTTACTTTTAACAAAACCACTAACCAAAAAGAAGAAGAAAAAGGTAACTCCACATGGACAAACACAACGACACATCGTACGTCGAGTACACTATGCATCATATTAGATTGTGTCTGTGGACTTTTGTCGCATATCTCAGAAGCTGATGAGATCTGTCGAAGCAACACGTCTTCTTTGTTTTTATCTCCTCTCGTTAAATCAGCTCATAGGTTATTTTTTCCACCTTCACTATTTGTAGAAATGCTTCATGATGACACCTACAAGACGTGATGCTTGGTTATACTACATTTATTAAAAACTCTAGCTACAAAGCAAAACAATAAAAAACAAATGTAGTTGGATCCACAGATCTAATTCTCCACGCCGCCACATTGTTTATTCAAGCAAACTCTATATTCTACTAAGAAAATAACAGCACAAGCCATAAACTAGTGTTTTCAAAAGATTCGCAAAGAAAAGAAAAACGAAATATATTTTACAGAGACAAAAGAAAAAATCAAATTAAATGCAAACAATCAAAGCAAAGGCAAAAGTGGACCAAGCCATACTTGAAAAGGAAGAAAATCACCGACACTTTAGTTAAGGAAGATGGGCGATTTGGTAATTTAAAGATTCGAGCTATGTGGGTGGGTCTAAAGAAACTGGCCAAGTGCATGTGAGAGACTAAGTCAATGCCCACTAATCTTCCACGAATTTACATTCGATGCCACTGTCAGTCAGTGAGAGACAGAGCATCAAACCAAAGCCTTGGGAAGAAAGTTAACTAAACTTATCAAACAGACAAACAACTTAACTTAATACTATAAGTCTATAATCACCAAATTGACTAATCAATCATACAAAAGACTTACATTTTTCAAAAGGGGAGGCTCTTTGAAGTGGAGCTCACAGAGAGCGACTTAAAATGCTCTGAAGGAACAAAGTCTTGTGGCAAATTAGCTCTCTTCACGATCCTCTTCATATTGCTCTGTAAACTCTGTTGCACCAACTGCTTCACAGCTTTCCTCTCTTCGCTCATCATCGAATCGCTTTCCTCATGGTCCAAACCATTCCCTCTGGTCCCATAGATTGGTGCAGACAAAGCACCGCATGATCCGGTACTATCCAAGACTTGCTTCCCTTTGTCCACTCTAAGACATTCCAATATCTTCGAGGCTCTCTTCTGAGCCAATGCACTTCCCAAGAGAGTTAACTCGAGCAGCGACGATTCGATCCCGGCCTCGATCATCGCTTGTCGATCACCATATCCCTTGTGAGCCATCAGCATTAGAATGTAAGTCGCCTTTTCTTGGCATCCAGGCGAGTCGGTCCAGTTTAGCACATCGACTAAAACCGGAAACGCGTCGCAAACCGAACCGATCGCTTTCCTTCCTTCTGGAGCCGCAACAACATTGCTCAAGATGGCGAGAATCCTCTCGCTCACTTCCATATCTCCTAACGCGCTCATGAGAAACGTGATTAGCTCGGTCTCGAGGATGAATGAGACGTTTGGCTGGTAGATTGAGAGGTTGTAGAGAGCTCTTAGTGCGTCTTCTCTTGCTTGTGAGCTGCTTCTTTCGTCCAGATTCTGGAGAGTTTTCACTAGGAAGATTATCGCTCCTGAAGAACCGATGATTGGTTTGTTTGAGTCCAAAGCGCTTAAGCCTAGGAAATTAGCGACCACAGCTTCTGCGATGGCTTGATCGGGAGTGTTTGGAGACTCGATTAGCTTCAGCATTTTGTGAACAGCGCCTGCTTTAACAATCGCTGCTTTGTTCCTGCAAAAGAATTAGAACAAAAAAGAGATTTCTTCAGAATCAGTGAAAGGTCTTAAATTGGTAAAAAGATTGAAATAAATGTTTCGAATGTTCATATTATAAAAAAAAAGAAGCATGGAAAGTGACTCAACGGATGAAACCAATTCAATTTTTGGCCGACAAAAATAATTTCGCCAAAACAAACAAACAGAGACGAAAAGGTTCGCTTAAAAACAAACGAACATTAACAACTACAATGGCTAAAAAAATCCGGGAAAATCAAAATCGTTTTTTTTTTTTTTCCAATGAAAAGCGAAGAGTAGTTGAAATATAATCAAAATCAGGATGGTGATTTGAATTGGGACTCACGCGTCGTTTCCGATGCCGAGATTGAGCAGAGCGTAAAGCGAAGCGATCTGTGCGTCTGCGATTCGTGAGTCGTCGATCATACTAACTAGCGGCGGAATCGCGCCGAGCATCGCCAGCGTCACTCTCGCCTCCGAGTCCTCCTTCGCCAGCAACCGCACCTCACTCGCCGCCGCTAACTTCTTCTGACAGACTCCGCCGTCTAACTCTTCATCTCCACGCGCCGCCGCGGCCGCTTGTAACTTACTCACCACGCGCTTCAGCAACTCGAGCGCTTCCTCCTTGTTCTTCGTCTCCACGTCAGCTTCCAACTCCGCTAGATTCAACAGATCACAGAGCTTCTCCGATTTCTTCGCTTTCTCCTCGAACGTTGCGCCGTTCAACGCCGCCCCGATCGTGTTGGGTTTCGCAGCCCTCGGTGCGGCCGCTGACTTCTCCGACACCGTCACGTAACTTTTCTCGTCGTCCTCTTCCCGGAGCTCGTGACGGTAACGTGAGCTACC